TGGTCGACGGCCTTGAAATGGGCCGTGCCCTGGCTTCGACAACATGCGTCTCCACGAGGTCTCTGCCTCCGTCTGTGTGTGTGTGTATGTGTGTGTAATTATCCTATGATGCAATGGGCGGGGGCGAAGGAAATGCTAGCATTTGGGGGGGGGAAGCGATGGTCGTGGCGGCCTTCGAGAAAGGAGAAAGGAGACATGAAAACATCGACAAGGTGGATGACGATAAAATGAATCAATCAACGGAACGTATGTCGTTTGCAAAGCGGGAAAAGAAAGAAGAAGCCGGGTGGGAGGTAGAGCAAGTGGGAGGAACGGAAGGGAGGAAGGAGGAAGGGAGGGAGGAAGGGAGCGAGGCACCTCCGTGTCCACGAAGACAGTGTGCTTGTTGGCCGCCTCCTCGGTGAGAAAATGCAGGCCGGCTTGGAGCTTCTCCGCTTTCTGTGAGGTGGGTGGGACGCGGGAAAGAAACCCGGTCAGGCGACGCCCTCTTTCCCTCCCTCCCCTGCCACCCTCCACCCTTCCACACCCTTGCCCCGACGAATTCCCTCTCTTCCCCGTACCTTCACGTCCAGTGCTCGCTTCATGTTCACGTAGCGCATGTCCTGGGTCTTCAACAGCGCGATGTGGTCGTGGGGGAGGGAGGCCTCGGCGGGTCGGACACGATGGACACCCTCTGCATGGAAAACAAAGAAATTTATGAAGCCAGAGGAATGAAGTCGTCCGTCTGCGCCGCGTTTCCCGCTTGCCTATCCTGCTTTCACTCCGTCTGCGAATGAGAGCCCCTTTCGTTCCCGACTATGTCCTCCAAATATTCGCATCGGAAATTGCCTTCTCTCGTGGCCCTACCTTTCGTTTGCCCCTTGGTCATGGCGAAATAAAATTCGTCGGGGTTTCGGAACGCCGCCTTCTCCCGAAGCGAAGCCAAGGCTTTGGTCTTCCTTTTGTAGTCATTCGCGCGCTGGACATAGTCCTTGTGCTTCTCCAAAAGGCCCTGGACGGAAAGAGAGCCCACCCAAAAAAGTGGCGTGGGTGCCCCCCCCATGGAAGAAGGGAAACAAAAGTCAAGAAAAAGCATACGTCGACGTCATTTTCACTCAACTTAAGGTCAGACAGCCCTGCCCTGCCACTTTGCGGAAAGTTTTGGGACTGGGTATGACGAAGATACTCACAAATTTCTTGCGGGCGGCAGGCTGGCTCCGTTCCTTGTTGGTTTTGCGTGGAATCGCGTTCCGAAGCGAGGCGTACGGCATGGTGTAAGATTCAGTAAGCTGCTTGTAAGCAATGGGTGGTCCAAGAGAGAAGGAGCACTAAAATAAGTGCAGGGGGGGATGGCCGGGTGCACGAGCGGCTTCTAGGGTAAGGAGGGGTATAAGGCTGTCTTTCAGGGCCAAACACCAGGCGATGTCCCCAGTCCCAAGACCAGCCAGCACCTGAAAGACTGTACAATAAATGGACGCATGAGAACCAGACGAATGAGGAAAGTGTGCGTCTTAAATAACGTCCAGTGAAAGTCCCCTACCACACGGACAATCTGCTCAAGCTAACCCCCCGTGCTGGTGCGTACAGAAAGCAGGAAAAAAAACGATAGCCACCTGTAACCGGTTTGAAAAAGTTCCTGAACAAGAGGTGCTCTTCGCACTAGTTTCCCATCGTTCGTGGTTCGTGTACCCTACGCACGCACGACCCTTTGATTGGCTTCATATTTTGTTCAGACACATCATGCGGCATTTGGAAAGGGGCTTGAAAGAGAGTGCACCAGTCCTATGGCAAGGAGAAAGCAACAGTCCTGTGTTCTGACTACTGCACAACCAACGTCGGCACAAACGCACCGCGTCATGCATGAAAACAGGCCAACGAAGCGATTTTCAAGGATCAAAAAGGAGGGAAGGGCGCC